GGGCGCAGGCCGCAGGCCGCGCGTCTCACACGGCACGGGCCGGCAGGAGGGCTGCACGCGCCTACGGGCAGGGAACCGGAGCGCTGGGCCTTCCTGTGGGTCCGTGAGCGTAAGAGAAAGACCATGTCTGCTGCACCCTGACAGAGCCAACAGCGCGCCAGGCCCACCGGCTCTGGAGGGCCCAGGCGGACGCCCCAGACCGGCCCGCACGGCGGCAGGCTCGGGGCCAAGGCTGGGGGCTGGGCCCTGCCCGTGCCACCACAGCGCTTCACATGGCTACCGCGGCCCAGGACCCAGCACACGCCCTTGCGGACGGCGCGAGTGCCACGGGGCCAGAGAGCTCACGAGCCAGAGGCTGGGCGCCGGGGGCAGCGCGAGTGGGCTGGGGCGTGCGGCAAGCGCACGCCAGCCAGAGCGGCACTCGGGACTCACCCGTGAGCCGCACGACGATGAGGGACTCCTCTGGGCCCCCGGTGGCCCAGGGCCAAGTCTCAGCGTCATCACCACGACCCGAGTTCGATGCTCGGCCGGGGAGGACCCCCAGGGCGTAGCAGGCCTCCCCTGCCCCCGCTGCTCCCCTCAGCAGTGGGTTTCAGTCGATTCTCATGCTCTGTTCCCCGCTCTGTCTCTGGGAACCCTCTCACCCACCCCATACCTCTCACCTGCACCCCAGTTCTTGTGTACACAAATACGTCCTTAAAAAACTTACTTTTTTTGAAGTTTACGATTCTTTTCTGCCTGTCCTCCCAGTTTGCTGAGCCCCAAGGCATCCTGAGATGAGGTCTCTGTCTCCAAGACACCAGCTACAAGGAAGTGGAGGGACTCAGGGCGGAGAAAAGCACGCCGGCAGCCCGGCGACGCGGGTCCCCTCCCCAGCTCTGCTTGGGCGCTCGAGCGCGCTGGGAGGCGCACCCGCGTCGGGGAGAGGCTGGCATCGGGCTCAGGCGCCTGAACCGCCCACCGGGAGCGCTGCCCCTGGCAGCGGGCACCAGGCATGGGCGCCGGCGCCCTGGCGCGGGGCCCACCCACCTTGCCCCAAGGACTCCTTGCCGGCGGGCCCGGGCCGGCCCTTCTCCTTCTTGCCAAACAGGCGGCCGATGGAGGACTTGATGCCCTTCTTCTTGGGGGCCTTGTGCAGCGAGTCCTGGCTGCTGCTGCTGCTGCTGGGGTTGCTCACGGGGCCGTCCTGCGAGCCTGTCGAGCTGCGCGCAGACACCGCCTGAGCAGG